AGCTTTCTTATACTTTTCGCAAGGGGAAATGGCCGACCAGTGCGGGTCGACTTTCCATCCCATGGGGCTGTGGCGTGAGTCGATCGAGGTATTGAATTTGTAAATGTCGCGCAAGACTTTGTCGGTTATTTTGTACTCCTTGCCCTCAAGTCGAGCGGTAAGGTATTTCCCGTTCTCGTGCCTGGCGACCGTGCTGAAAAACTCGATAGTTAAGCCCCGGTAGGTAAATGCCTCCATGTCCTCGAATTCCTCGAGGTCGAGCAATTTGATGTAGCGGTCGATATCCTCTCCGATCTCGAGCTCGTCATTGAAATAATCCCAATCGATGATGCGTGGGTTGGGAAGAGGTTTGGAGGAGAGCCGTTGATATGCCGTGACCTCGTCCATGGAAACGACATCAAATGGTACCAAATGGAGGGCTCTTAAGGATTGGGCCGACGTTGCCGGGTCGGGGTTGAAGCTCGTGGAGGCCGGCGCTTTGGATTTTGAAGCCGCGGGACCCTTCTTCTTTGAAGCACCGGTCGTTTTGCCCATGATTTCTAGTTCGGGCAATTTGTCGAACACTTGGTGGGCGGAGTTGAGGATGAAGAACTAGCGAACAATTTGAATGTGAGTGGTTCCGGAGTTGGCCTCCTCACGCCTCAACAATCTACCACAAAGCACTTTGGAGAAACAAGGATACCTTTTTGAAGAGTTGCAACCCGAATTGAGCAATACACACGAGCTAGGGTTCGGGTAGAATCTTGATGGAGCAAGAGAATTTCGGAATTCAAGTTGGCACAGACCTTAGACGGGTTGCCGGAGTCTATGGTCGAAGAGTTGACGCCGGAATTTGGACAGTGATGATCGGTCGGAACTTTTGAGCGATCGCCAAGAGAGTTTTCGGTCGAGAGAGATAAGAGAGATGTGTGAAATGAGGTCTTTGCCCGTTCCCCTTTTTTATTAAGTCTGGGACCTTAGCGGCGCTAAGGGGGGTTAGCGCCGCTAAGCCACCTAGCGGGAACTCTCTGATGTCGCAGAAAAACATAAGCGCCGCTTTTCATTTTGTCTTAGCGGCGCTAAGGATGGTTAGCGCCGCTAAGCCACCTTAGCTGAGATCCTCTGTCCTCGCGATAAAGCACAAGCGCCGCTAACTGTTTTGGCTTAGCGGCGCTAAGGAGGGTTAGCGCCGCTAAGCCACCTTAGCTGATTCTCTCTGTACGCGCTATCAAACATAAGCGGTGCTAACTGACCTGACTTAGCGGCGCTAATGATGGTTAGCGCCGCTAGTACCTACTACCAACAAAAATATATATATATATTTTTTTTTTTAAGGAAAGGAAAAAGCTGATATATATATATATATATATATAAATACATATAGTACAAATAATTGCTCAGTTTAAAGCCGAGAGCTCGGCATAAATTCGATCAAGGATACGGGGGTTCGCCAAGACCGAGAGTCTCGACATGGTGTTTCCTAAATTCTCCATCGAAGTACGGCTTGATCCTTTGTCCATTCACTACGAACAACTCGCCACTTGCGGGATTTCGAAGCCGAACGGCTCCAAGTGATAACACTTCATCAATCACGTAAGGTCCGCTCCAACGGGACTTAAGCTTACCCAGAAAAAGACGAAGTCGAGAGTTGAATAATAGTACCTTCATGCCGGGCACAAGAGTCTTCCGGACAATGGTTGAATCGTGAAGCCTCTTTGTCTTCTCCTTGTAAATTTTAGAGTTCGTGTACGCTTCATCCCTCAACTCTTCAAGCTCCGAGAGTTGCAACATCCTTTCTTTCCCGGCGGCATCAAGATCAAAGTTCATCTTCTTAATGGCCCAAAATGCCTTGTGCTCGATCTCTACTGGAAGGTGGCACGCCTTTCCATAGACAAGTCGGAACGGGCTCATCCCCAAAACTCCCTTATAAGCTGTGCGTTGGGCCCATAGTGCATCATTGAGCCGGCTCGACCAATCTTTTCGAGACGAGTTCACCGTTTTCTCAAGAATGGTCTTAATTTGTTTGTTGCTCGTCTCAGCTTGGCCCGAAGTTTGCGGGTGGTATGGGGTGGCGACTTTGTGGGAAATCCCGTATTTCTTCATCAACTTATCACATACTCGGTTGCAAGAATGCTTGCCCCCGTCACTCACAATAAATCGTGGAAATCCGAACCTACTCAAGACATGACTTTGCAAAAACTTTATCACAACGTTAGCATAGCAAGAAGTATTGTAACGCCCAGTATATTATTTTCTATTTATGGAGCTGGACTATATTTCCATAAATAATAAGTTTCCTAATTTGATGCAGTTATTATTATTAATCATTAAATTGAATAATTAGTATTAAAGTCTAAGCCATGGAAAATTAATTTGATTTTTAATTATTAAAGTCGGATTATTTAGTCCAAGTATAGGTTCTAATTTTTAAAACCGAGCCTTGGAAATATCAGAAACC